GCCCACAATAGCAGGCTCAATTGTGTTCTTTATCACTGCCAAACACTTCTTGTTGGCAGTGACCCATTTCCTATGCTCAAGGTCATATGACATCTTTACGGGAGCAAAATCCCGCTCTCTATTCTGCCATGCAGCATCAGTCTCATCAGTCTCCCTCACCGATGCCACAGGTTCTCTGGGGCACGGTGTGGTGAGAACCCAGTCCACCTCAGCGAGGATGAAAGCCAGGTCTATCTTTTTCTTTCACTCATTATAGTTATCACCTTTTAGAGTGGGGATCTCTTTGATACAACTCATTAAGTTGTATCCTCCTGAAAACACAATTCAAATAGTGTGTCAAGATTAAAACATACAATTATTTTATACATTAAATCTACATCACCGTTGGGCAGAAATAGAAATAATGCATAATCATTATAATATTGTTATTAACAACGTTGGTCAGAAAATAACAATATCATAATCAACTCATATTTATCTCTTGGCTCTTAAAATCAAATTCTCCCGTTGGTTCGAATTTAATTAAAAGTCCATAATTACTTTAAATACGCAGCGGAAACATTAACATTCAATAATTATTTTCCTATTTTCCAGAAGCAACTTTACTATTTACTGAACAAAAAATATCGTTGGATAAATTTTGTACAGAAAATTATCATAAAAATTCAATTCAAATTGATCAAACTGTTTTCTGGAAAATAAGAAAATCAAAAACTGTGACTGTACTATTTTATTTGGCCATTTCGGCCCGATCCAGCAACAGCCCATGGCCTGTTCACGCGCGCGCGCGTCAGCGCACCCGGCCCAGCTACCTGCGGCCCAGCCGCGCGCGCCAGCTCTCCCCGCCCAGCTGCCCGCGGCCCAGCCGCGCGCGCCAGCGCTCCCCCGCGCCCAGGCCGCAACCTAGGCCTGGGCCGGGATTTCGGCCTCGCGCCCTATCCCGCCTGGGCCAATTTTGGCCCGAGCGCTCCTGGCCGTTGATCCAGATCGAGCGGTGGAGCGCACAGCTCGGGGCATCAAAAGCCCGGCCGGCCGCGCCCCCCGAAACCCTAGACCATTTCTCTGCTTGCTTTCTCTCTCAGTGCCGAGAACGGCAGCGGCGGTGGCGACCGCGGAGGACGTCGGCCGCCGTAGCTGTTCCACGGTTGCTCCCCCCGGCCTCTTTCTCTTTCTCCCTTCTCCCCCTTCTTCTTGTGCCTGCACCGCCCAAGAACGAGCAGCAGTGAAGAAGATGGAGATGGCACCGCCGTGAAGTTCCTCGCCGGCGCGCGTGCTCGCCCATGGCTGAGCACGCCGCCGTCGAGTAGCCTTGCGACGGTGCCCTGTTGGCCAGATCTTGGCGAGCTGAGCCCCCCGCCAGCCGTTCTTTTCCCCTTCCTTTTCCCCCGCTCGCCGGCGTGTTCGACGGCGAGGTGAGCCGAGCCACCCTCTTCCCCTTCTTTCCCCTTTCGGTTTCTTTGATTCGGATTTTGCACGATTTCCTGATTAGGGTTAGGGTTAGGGTTGGGGACGACACTGTTTTTCTTTTTCCCCAAATCGCCTTCGGGTTTTAGGGTTCGATCTTTGCATGAAAACCGAGCCCCTCTTCTTCTTTAACCTCATTAGTGTTAGGGTTCATCCGAACCATATCTTTTCTCAGATCCGACGGATCGAGTTTAGGGTTCAACCGAACGTCGGCCGACCCTTTTCTGCTTAGATCCGCACTGGATCTAATCAACTTTTCCTTTTCTAATCGGTACCCGTTCTAGATCAAACCCTAGAATCCAGATCTATACCTAAACCGTGGCTCTGGTACCATTGTTAACATTCTGTAGATCGACTAGGGTAGATCTAGGCCGGTGAACACTTGGATCCTTAAAGCACATTCACATCTAGACCTAGAACACTACACCGAGAGGGAGATAGGGTAGAGGTGCTGGTGTTGAACCTGAGCCTTCGGAGGAAGTCGCGGTTGAGCTGGCCATCGCTGGTTCGTTGATGGAGGCAGCACACGGGCAGCGACGGCTGGAGTAGAGGTTGCACGGACGTCGATGCAGTGCAGACGGACGGCGTGGCAGTGACGACGGTGAAGGTCAGCGGAGCTTCCCGTCGCTGGCTGCGCGCCCTCTTAGATCAGTCTAGGGTTTGTCGGTGGGGTTTGCGGCTCACGGCGAACCTCGTGCATTGAGCCTCCGACCCCCACCTCTTTATATAGCGCAGTGCGACGGGGGCCCACCAACCATGTAGGGTTGGGCGCCCCCGATCAGGGCGCGTGACCAAGGCCCAATAGGCCGTTGGGCTTATTGGTTAGGAGATCAATCTAATATAGAAGTCTTTGTTTTTGTTCGTGGGTACCACCCTATGGAACGAAACATGTATATGGTTTGGAATTTTTATGTCACGCGGAGGTGCAAACGACATGCACGACTAGGCTCACTCATGCAACCATTAGTAAGAGCTCTCTAAATGAATTCAGTTTATTTCAAAAAATACCATGGCCACTCGCGAATCACGGGTATAGGCTGTAAGTGACAATGGTGTGATATACATGTATACTCTGTTTATTCATTTTTTTATTTTTTGCACAAGTTTGAAGGAGTAGCCAGGTTTCTTATCTGGGCAGAACAGTGGAGGCCCGTGCGTCTTCATAGGCGGCAGACACTCAGGAGCCAGCTTCGCGCGGATCACAGCACCTTTGTACGCCGGCTCGGGCACCTGATGGACGTTCGTGCCTAGCACCTGGCAGTATAAAGAAATATAGGTGTTTGGAGTACTTAGCTAGTTCTTCATGTTGAAGGTAGCCGCGGGCGAAGGTGGCTCTCTGTCCGGTAGTGACGTGTGCCGCGTCGAGGGTAGCTCTTTCCGGTTACAACGAGGGTTGCTCTGTTAGTCCACGACGCTGGTAGCTCCGCCCGGCCGCGACGAGGGTTGCTCTGTCCGACCACAACGAGGGTTGCTTTGTCTGTCCGCGAAGAGGGTAGCTCCATCCAGCCACGACGAGGATTGCTCTATCCGACCGCGACGAGGGTTGCTCTGTCCGGCCACGACGAGGGTTGCTTTGTCTGTCCGCGACGAGGGTAGCTCCGCCCGGCCACGACGAGGGTTGCTCTGTCTGGCTGTGACGAGGGTTGATCTGTCTGTCCGTGGCCCAGGGTTGCTCTGTCTGGCCGCGACGAGGGTAGCTCCGCCCGGCCGCGACGAGGGTTGCTCAGTCAGGCTGCGACGAAGGTCGCTTTGCCTAGCCACGACGAGGGTTGCTCAGTCTAGCCACGACGAGGTTTGCCCAGTCCGTCCGGCCACGACGAGGGTAGCTCTGCCTGGCCACGGTAGTGTGACGAGGGTTGTCTTTTTTCGTGTCTTTTTTTTTGCTTGTGGTGCAATGGGGTCACCACGGACGGGGCCACTGTTGGGATATAGTCCTTTGCGTGTACCTTCACGCGGACGGACAAAGGTACCTTCGCTAAGGTACCTTCACCGGGGTGAAGGAAAAGCTAGGGAGCTAGTCCCACATATGAGAATAAAGTGGGAAAAGAGAGAACCCCTTTCCCTTTGTCTTTGGTTCTATTTATAGGGAGGTGGAAGGATGTATCTTCGTCCCCACCCTTTTAGTTCATGAATTTACATAAATGTCCTCAGACCTACTAGGCCTTTTTACATGGAGGGGGTAGGCACAGCCGCCCCTCCCCCACAATTTTCTAAACCACAAAACTCATTTTTATTTTTTTGCATCATATTATTTGTATTGATTTTATCAACAAAATATGACCTATATTTATTGACTATATTTTTATACTAAAAAAATAAGTGGCATGTGGGCCCTACATTTGAAAATTTTGTCAAAACGTAGTCTCGATGGATCTCATTTTGTTTGACACATTATTTCCAACAATAATCTTCAAACGGTTAGTCCAATGAACTTGGCGTTTGTGAGATATTGCATTTTAAATTATGAGAAAATCCACACTCAAGGACGCAGAGGGGAGAGAGAGGTGAGCACTAGTTACCATGCAGGACTTTAAGGAGTGTCTGGCTGGGATACTTCGTCCGACTGGTTCTCTTTTTTTTTTCAGCTGGGGCAGTATTTTTTTTCGCAAAATATCAGTATAAACAGTGTTTTCGTACGGGCATAAGCAGTGCTTTCGTACCAGCCGAACACTCCTTAGTCAGTGATGTACTATTGTTTCAGAGTGAATTTCTCTCACGTTTTTTCATTTGTGACACTACTACTAATTGAATATTGTTTTTTATTTTTTGAGAAACAATATGAGCCGGCAATATTGGTTTTTAACTTGTGTTCGTCAAGTCAAATCTTGGTCATAGTCAAACTGATGCATAGCCAAAAGTTGACAGAGCTAATAATACGTGTATAGATGCATATGCTTGTCCTCTCCTTTTTAATCAATCATCAACGCCTCCCTAATCCCCACCATATTCTTTTGCTCCGCCGCTGTAGGATATCAGACCGCCTTGCCATTAAATAGAGTTAGAGTTAGGTGAGTTTCAAAAAAAAAAACTAGAATTATGTGCACAAATCTCCATCCTAGCACACTCGAGTACCACCGTACAGCAGCGGTAGCGCCTGCTACGGAGCCTCTCATGCTTTCTGGGATTCTGGGAACCGAACGTGGTGGGACCCCTATAGACGGCCACCAAGCAGATCGGCAACGTGGTTACGAACGCCAACAGCCAGCTTGTGGACCATCCCTACCGAATCAAACCAGGTACGGGTTTGGAGTCATTGTAATCCGACCATCCACGACGCCATGTGTCAATCATCCAAGGTGTGGGTAGCCGTCACCCCCTTGTTATATTTATTATTATTATTTATATATATCGCATCCACTATAGTCCAGCCCCCAGCCATATGGTACCTCCAACCTCGATGATCAATACAAAATGTACGTTCGCTTTTGGTAGCACTAGCGCACAAATGGATTAGTTGCTCTTCCACCATCTCTAGCTATAGTTGATTATAAGCAAATTTCTCAATCCCAAACTCTGTACCAACCTACATTCTCGCCATGAAAATCACGGTGCAGTCATCCAAGTCCGTCAAGCCCGTCTATGGCAGCTGCGGCAGACGTAGCAGCGTCGCTTCCTTCGCCACTGCCGACTTCGTCCCACTCACCGTATTTGACAAGGTAACCGTCGACGTCTACGTTTCCCGCATATACTTCTTCCGGCCGCCGGCGCCGCCCAGCTCCGCCATGGAGGCAGGGCTGGCCACGGCTCTCGCCGAGAACCGGGAGTGGGCCGGCCGGCTCGGCGTGGACGCCGCCAGCGGCAACCGGGGCATACTCCTCAACGACGCGGGCGCGCGGTTCGTCGAGGCGGCGACCGACGTCGCACTGGACAGCGTCATGCCGTGGGAGCCAACGCCAGAGACCACGAGCCTGCTGCATCCGAACGGCGACGACGGTGGCGCTGACGAGCTGATGCTCGTCCAGGTCACAAGGTTCGCGTGCGGCTCGTTCGCCGTCAGCACCACCGCGCACCACCTGGTGGGCGACGGCCCTGCTGTCCGCAGCTTCGTCGTCGCTTGGGGCCAGGCCACGCGTGGCGCCGCCGTCGACCCTGTCCCGGTGCACGACCGTGTGTCCTTCTTCGTCCCCCGCGATCCGCCTCGGGTTGAGTTCGAGCACCGCGGCGCCGAGTTCAAGCCTCACGGCGACAGCCAGGCGGGAACATGCAACACCAGCTCCGGTGATCAGGTAGTGGTGGTGCACAGGGCGCACTTCAGCCGCGAGATGATCTCGGAGCTCAGAACACGAGCATCCTCGTCGGCCGGCGGCACCTCCCGACCCCACACCACGCTGCAGTGCGTGGTGGCGCACCTATGGCAGTGCATCACCAAGGCGCGCCGGATCGACGCGGACAGCAGCACGACCACCGAGTTGCACATCGCCGTGAACGGGCGCGCGCGCATGCGCCGTCCGCGGGTGCCGGACGCGTACACCGGCAACGCCGTGCTCTGGGCGCGGCCGACCGCCACGGCAGGGGAGCTGATGGCCATGCCGCTGCGCCAGGTCGTGGAGCTCATACGCCAGGAGGTATCCCGGATCGACGACGGCTACTTCAGATCGTTCATCGACTTCGCGAGTTCCGGCGCGGTGGAGAAAGAGCGGCTGGTGCCGACGGCTGATCCTTCTGAGACGGCGAAAAGCCCACACGTCGCGGTTTACAGCGTGCTGGGGTCCCCGTTCCACGAGATCGACTTCGGCGCCGGCGGCGGCCAGCCCTTCTTCTTCATGCCTAGTTACGTCCCGGTGGAGGGCCTGGTGGCCGTCGTGCCGTCGTTCTGCGACGATGGCAGCGTCGACGCCTATGTGTCTCTCTTCGGCCACACCGTGGACGACTTCAAGACCTGCTGCTATTCCCTGGCAGCAGCAGGAGAGGCACGCCTTTAGCAATTAGCCGTGCCAATCAAAGGATATTTCCGAGATCATCGCTGTCCCAGCTATATTTCAGATCTTTTCCTGAATTCTACTTTTTTATTTATTGGATTGGATTGGATGACCACTTGATCTTGCATGTTTTTTTTTCTCTAATACACAAAGGTTTGTGCATCTTTATATTAAGATCGAGAAATAGTGAAAGTTACAATGACATGCCACGAACGTGGCACACCAGGGGTTAGTGTTATACAATCAGCTCTGCCCTTCCTAGCATAAGAAGATCATAGGCTACTACTCGCCGTTGGGGGAGGTATCACCTCCTCGATGAGGGTGCCCTTGATGGGTTCATTTCATCTGTGTGTTCAGGTGGCACGCCCGGAGGTCAGCTGCGCCAGAGGAGCGTGGCGAGAAGGTCGCAAGACGGTAACGGCGAACAAACCCTCGTCGGGGCCACGCGAAGGTCACTGCCAGCCATGGGAAGGGACCATCCTGTCAGCAATTGGACCCGGGAGTGGTTGGCTGAGGAAAGGAGATTACCGCTGTACCCCTAGTCATTGTATAGCGTTTACTTGCTAGGGTCTGACCCTAATGTAATTTCACCGCGTCTCGGGGTATGGCCTATAAATGCCCGGAGCGCTCGTGTAAGAAACAGGTTGAACTTTTCCGGACAAATTAATGGGCATTTAATCCGTACTTTTCCATCTCCTCGTTTTCCTGTACCCTCGCTCATCCCTTCACGATAGTCTAGTCACTCACCTGTGGGAAACCCTCGGCCTTTCCCCCCGTGTCCCTCAGCGAGGGCGAGAGGCTAGGAGTGACCCCACAGTTGGCGCCCTCCGTGGGGACCCCAGTCCGCCATTCCTCGAAAACAATGGCAACAATAAGAAGAAACACCCAAAGGGATCCACCCCCGCCGTGAGGGTCAGACCCGGCGGTGGGAACCTCCGCAAGCTGAGCCGGTGGGACTCCGATACTCCAACCCGTTGCTCAACCGACGAGAACACAACTCAAGTCGGATAGGGCCAAGGCAGCTGAGGCCGGAGCCAACCCCAACCCGAACCATCCAGGACGGAAGAAACCGGCCACGTACCGGAAGACGACGACGAAGGTGCAAAGGCAACAGGCCTCGAGGCCCTAAACCAAATGCATGAGGAGCTCCAGGAGAAAAGACGTTGAGTCAATGCCCACTAGAGGCAGGCACGCCTGCAAGTGACAAGGCAGAAAGCAGACGAAGCCAGGGAACAACTCAGGCAAATGGATGAGTACCTAGCTTCGATCGAAGCTAACCCAAACTATCTACCTGAACAACACGACTTGCCATCTCCGCTCCACCCAAATCCACCTCTGCTCCACCCAAATCCACCTCTTCCCCACTCAAATCCACCTTCGCTCCAACCGAACCCCCCCACCACCTCGTTTTCACCAGATCTACCCCGAATACATTCCCCCAGCCGTTCAATAACACCACAACAACCAACCTCCGCCGATGCCATACGACCCAAAATCCCCATTGACCGAGATACTCCAAGCTAGAAATTGACCACTCGAGTACAAACCACAGAACCTACCAAGGTACGATGGAAGCATAGACCCTCGCCAATTTGTAATGGGCTACGAAGCGGCAGTGGAAGCAGCAAGCGGGGATGAGTATACCATGGTGAAGTCCTTCATGATTATAGCAAGGGACATTGCCCAAAACTGGTACAACAACCTCTCGCCAGGCTTGATAGACTCCTGGAGGAGCCTCCGCAAAAAACTATGCAACAATTTTAAAGGTATCAGCCCTTCGGCAACCAATTGCATGGAATTATTCACTTGCACTCAAGCCAAAAGAGAACCACTCCGAGACTTTTGTCGAAGATTCGTCTAGCTCAGAGTGTGGACACCAAACATAACAGATGATGCAGTGATCCTAGCAGCAGTCAACGGGGTAAGACCAGGGCCATGTTCCTCAAGGCTACCACGGAAGCCACCAAAAACCATCGTAGAGTTACACGAGGTCATGGATAAGTACATCAGATCAGACACTGTCTTCTGTTCGAAGACCGAGGCTTTGAAACCTCAAACACGCCCACCTCTAAGGCCACCACAGTGCAACCAGTACCCTCACAACGAACCAATCAACGTAAATTCCATAGAGACCACACCTCCGCAACGCCAAAGACAGCAACCAAGTCCAACATCTCAACAGACCCCCGCCAACAGCCAGAGTGACAATAGAGACAATACCCAAAGCAGACCCAACCCAAGAGATCCAGCGAAGCTATATTGCCATTTCTATGGACCAGGCAAAGGCCACTCGACAAAGCAATGTGCATGTTTCGCAAAGGGAAAGGAATATCAAGAAGCACAGCAAGCTGCCGCTTCAGGCCCACCAAAACCTGTAAACTACACAAGGAGACAACCCACCCCCGCGATCACCCCATACCAATACACACCAGTAAACTACGACATGCCCTCGCAACAACATCCTCAACAATACCCAACCTTCGCTGGCTACAATCCCTCCTATCACCATTACAACACCTATGACAACCCCTAGCCATCATACGGCTATTGTAATCGCTGCAACAGCCAACCATACACAGTTACTCACCCACCACCCCACCACAAATACAAAACCAACACCCAACCTTACCACCACCACCCCCGCCACCACCAACCCAGCCGCAACAACAGCAAGTAAAACGATAACCCGCGAACCGACCCATTCAAACAACAATCAACAACCCAGTCGCAACCTTCGGTGTAATACTCACAATCACCAAAGGATCCAACGACGATCACGGCAACAAGAGACAACACAAAGAGCATATGAGGCGGGTACACCATCTAGCTACCGAAGGACCACACAAGATCTCACAATGGTCCCACATCCCAATAACCTTCGACAGCACGGATCTCAAACTAAAAGACTACCCTCACACCAATGCCATGGTCATCGGGACAAATCTGGCTGGTTGGGCAGTAACAAGGATCCTGGTCGACACTAGCAGCTCTGCCGACATCCTATTTGCTTCAACCTTCGACAACATGAAATTAGACATAAATCTTCTCTAGCCAGCTGGACGTCCGCTATACGGATTCGGGGGCAAACAAGTGAAAGCCATAGGCAAAATCACACTCCCAGTAACCTTCGGTGACCAAAGCAATAGCAGAACAGAGCACATAACCTTTGATGTGGTTGACATCCTATACAACTACAATGTAATTTTCGGCCGAGGGGTCACAAACATTTTCAGTGCAGTCCTCCTCCCGGGCTATCTCTGTATGAAACTGCCCTTCGCCAGAGGTGTCATTGATGTATATGGCAACCAAGACCTCGCCAGAATAGTAGAAGAAACAGCCACCCCAGGGCAAAAAAATGTATACAACTCGGGCAAAGAAAAGCCAACAATCAAGATACTCTCGCCAAATGAACCAGAACAACAAGTCAGGGCAAAGCCAGTAGAAGAAACTAAGAAAGTACCACTATTCGAAGGTAACACCAGCAAGCAAGTCATCATCTCTGCTATGCTGTATGGCAAAACTGAGGCCGAGCTTATCCATTTCCTGCGCGACAACAACGACATCTTCACATGGTCCATAGAGGACCTCCGAGGGGTAGACAGGTCCATCATTGAGCACATCCTTGACGTTGACAGAAATCACCCCCTGATCAAGCAAAAGCTTCACAAAAAGTCTAAAGAAAGAAAGTAGATAGCCAAGGCAGAGGTCCAAAGATTGCTCGACGCGGGTGTCATTGGACCAGTTAAATACCCAACTTGGCTATCAAACGTTGTGCTAGTCAAAAAGAAAAATGGCAAGTGGAGAATGTGCATCGATTTCACGAGCCTAAACAAAGCCTACCCTAAGGATGATTTCCCATTACCAAGAATAAACACCCTCGTCGATTTAGTAGCAAGTTGTGAGCTCTTGTCACTCCTGGACTGTTCTTCAGGATACCATCAAATTTGGATGAACCAGGAAGATGAGGAAAAAACAAGCTTCATCACTCCTTTCGGAACATACTGCTTCAGAAGAATGGCAGAGGGGTTATGCAACACAGGGTCAACCTTCGCCCGCGTGACAGCAAAAGTATTCAAAGAGGACAAAGCAATCCAGCTTATGTCGACGATATTGTTGTACAAAGCAAGCTCAAACAAGAACACATCGAGGACCTCCACAGAGCATTCAACAACCTCCGCAACACGGGGCTCAAATTGAATCTAGAGAAATGCATATTTGGCATAAGCAAGGGGAAGCTGTTCGGTTGCCTCGTCTCAGCAAGAGGAATCGAGGCCAATCTAGAGAAAATCAGGGTAATCCTCAACATGGAACCCCTGACCTCAAGAAAGCTAGCACAGAGGCTCGCAGGAAGTCTAGCGGCAATAAACAGATTCATTTCAAGGTCCACGGAGCGAGGGCTCCCCTTCTTTGAACTACTGAAAAACATAGATCCATACAGCTGGGGACCCCAACAACAATAGGCCTTCGAGGATTTGAAGGTCTATTTGCACAACCTAACAACCCTCGCCACCAACCCCCAACCCGGCAAACCGCTCCTCCTATATGTCGCAGCCTTGCCACATGCAGTCAGTGTAGTACTAGTAAAAGAAAATCAAGAAGAGCATCAGAAGAAGCAGCTACTAGTGTATTACGTATCCGAAACCCTCAACGGAGCAAAAAAGTTCTATACAGAAATGGAGAAGGTAGCGTACGCAGTCGTCATGGCCTCCAGAAAACTGAAGCACTATTTCCAGGCGCACAAGATCACTATACCCTCGAGTTTCCCGTTTGACAACATCTTGAAGAACCCAGAAGCCATAGGTCGAATAGGAAAATGGACCACCAAAATCAACGACTTGGCAATAGAGTTCATCGGGAGAAACGCAATAAAATCTCAGGACCTTACAGACTTCTTCGTAGATTGGACCCCCGACACTCATAATACAGCGGAAGTTATAGAACCAATATGGACAGTGCACACAGAAGGAGCATGGGGATAGGCGGGAGCTAGAATAGCAGCAATC